GTTTTGCAAACTCATACTTATTCTTCATCATAATTAGACTCTTTTATCCATTTAGACTTTGGAGGAGATGGGATATGAGAACTCTAAATTTCTTTAACTTACGCACTTAGAATGATAGCTGACCTCCATGACTGATGGTGGAAAATTGCCTGTAGAAATTACAATGGCTTATTCAATTGTGCTAAGATTCCATAATGCTGGTTTTGACATCAAGTCCTACTAATTTTAAAAACATTGAAATGTCATTTTAATCAGGTCACTCTAATTTGTTCTAATGAGAAACATCACAGTATACCACTCCCTTAAGCGATTCCAAGATCTGTTATCAAGCTGTAGCATCTACAGATGATGATGATGATGATGATGATGATGATGCTTATTCAATACAGGACTCCTTGACCACTCTGAGACAATTATATTAAAGTTTTAGATGCTCGGAAAAGTTTTTCTCCTCTCTAGAATGGAAAAAGGCGGGAATAAAAAATTAATCTTTTACCATTCTTTCAACTTCTATTTCAAGGCTACAAGTTCACTGTCTTAGTGGATAGTGATTTACTGCTAGAATGTCACAAAGTCAATTTTATTACGTAATATGTTACCATGGTATGATTTAGGTTTTACTGTTCAGGAAAACCTTGACAAAAATGATGCAATATACCTGGAAAAAAGGAGGGTGAGTCTTTGTAGAAATCAAAGGAGAATGCACTGAATATAACTCCTTAGATATTTGTGTTTTGCAAGTTTAGTGAAATCTGAAAGAAGCAGTGTAAATACATGAAATACATTTCTAACATAAGACTAGTTAAATATCACCCTAAAATACTTCTTTGTTTCTATGACAGAGAATTATAATAGGTATTATTGCAAATCTAGGCTGCTGTCTAAAACTGAATTTCAAGATTTGAGTCTGGATAATAATGACTTAGCTTAATAAGTGTTAGGGTGAAGATTCTTTGAAAGTATGAGCAAATCTGGGAAACTAATTACTATCAATGGGTAATATTAGAGGGGGAGAATAGTTTTTCTCTATCCACATTTTCTATGATTTTATGTATCTCTATCATGCTTCTCCTCATCCTGGAGAAGGTCTTACCTACATGGTTGCCAAAAGTCAATGCTGACTTGATGGCCCATAATCAATCATGTTTCTCCACATCACCTCTGTAAACACTATCCTGCTGGATCACGCTAATTAGTTCCATAATCCACAGCATACTGGGCCCATACTAGATAGATCCAAGAAGTTCACAAGCAGGACTTGAGGAGGACAACCTTCTTACTCTTCGCTCCTCAGCAACTGACATTTCAGACACAATGGCTTTGATTCGGGGAACTGATACAAGTAAACCACATAAAAACTGAGACACAAGGCCAGGGTAAGTATAAAGTGATAGCACTTTTCTCAGTGCAGAAGGAATGACAGAAGTAAAGGCAAGACTGAAATCATTGCTGTTACCTCTTACTGTTCTTAATCTCAACTTATGTTGAGTGGCAAGTATATTTACTACTGAGACTTTAAAAAGGGCCACTGCAACCAAATGCCCCAATCTTTGAACAGCAAGACAGACTAGGCAATTTCAACGCTGCCTAGAATATTTCTTTTTAACATATAGAAAACTAGCATAGATAAAACCCTTTTCTTGAAACTCTCCTTATAAATTTCACTGGAGAAGAATTATTGCTCATCTTTCCTTCTAGAAGAAGAATGTGCACATAGTTGTACACAAGCCCACAATTTGCAATAGTAATGAATAAAACTAAGTCTGTTTCCAGCACTGCTCAGAGTTTTACTATGGAGGAAGACTCTCTCAGTAATCCTATACAAAAATTCTTTTGATGTTCTTAAAAACCAAACTTTCTGTTATTGCTACTTTACTTTTTAAATTTTTTTTTTTGGCAGGAATCCCATTTTTTAAATGTATTCAATGCTACCTTGGTATATCGCTATCTACTCTATCCAATGTCCTGGATTAGCAATTCTGAAACATTCCCACTATGTTATCCATTGGTCACCTGTGAACACCATGATCTCCCCATACTTACTCGGCATTTGTAAGATCCTAGAATTAAATCTTTTTTTTTTTTAATTGCTGAAAGCTTGTCAGATTACATGAGATATCAGTGTTCCTGCTTCTCTCACAGTTGTTTTAAATAAATAAATAAGTAAGTAAGTAAGTAAGTAAGTAAGTAAGTATTCTCTTCTGAAGAATGCTCAGCAAATGCTGATGGTTTAGGATCAATTCAAGCTTTATCCAAAAGCCTAAGGATTGTCCACATATTGATGAAATTGTATTATTATTATTATTAGTAGTAGTAGTAGAAGTAGCAGCAGCAGCAGCAGCAGTAGTATCCTTCCGCATCAGGAACTACCTGCAGTAACCCAGCAGGTTACCAGTAATTCCCCAGGCCTCAGACAGGATCATTGTACTTGATGCCACAATTATGAATTGCATGCATGGTTTCACAGTATATATTCAAGCATCATTTTTGTTGTTATTATATTATGGGCCAACCAGAACACTAGGGAAACATGGCTTATAATAGTAAACAAACAACTAATGTTCTCAATCAGCCCATTTGAGGTATTTCTTGGTATCGTTTTCACCACTGGTAACTAGCCTTAAGGATCAACACCATGTTGAAAACAGCCCTGGAAATAAGGCAAGATGGCTTTGTTATGTTCAAAAAAGACTTGTATCAAACCCGTATGAGCCTCTGGACCCTTACTATCTCCATTATCATTGCTCATTCCATCACTTGCACAGGAGAAATGTAATCATGGATGAGATTTGTAGCAAGCATGGGCTACTACCAATTTCTTGCCCGAGATGTAAAGAAATAGCACGGGCATATGACCATGATGGGTATGTGAGACCAGAGTACAACCCATAGAAGATGCACATCTACCATGCACAGAGCAGATTCTTAATGAACAGCCAAGCCTGAGAAAGAAACTACAAGCAACTCTATCTCTTCAGCTGGTATTAAGTTATATACACAGACCAAATATTTGATACGCCATTGCTTTAATCAAACCATTCCCCATATCCATTAATATGTGGTAGCAGCATCTTCTTTCCTAAGCATTGTGAAGGGACTTTATAAACCAGATACAAATGTTACACAAACCAGACACCTAACAACATCCACAAGATTTTATACAGAATAAAAATAATAGTTATCTTAAAGTGCTGAGTATAGATCAAAATGGAAGATGAGCATATTTCTTCTAATCTAGGGCTGCCAACTTTTTTGGATTAGGGGCTACACATTATATTATTATCTATTACAAACATACATACGCATCATGTTGTTCCGCTTTTGGGGTAAGCAACATTATGCAAAAAGAGAGTAAGGGATAGTAAACAAAGAAAATAAAAGTAGGAGGTAAGAAAAAAGAAAAGGAAAATCTATTTAATCTGGTTTACAGCCATTCCCTATAGCTCTCCATACCTTTGTATCTTTACAAACCATCAGTGCTTCAACCATAACCACCCACCGATTTATACACTGTCTTTTATTCTTTAAACTTCTCACCTTTCTTTTTGAGGAACCATCAACTCCATCCAACCATGACTTTCTCAGTCTTCTCTTCCTCTTAACCCACACCCATTCATTCTTTACCCTATCTCTTCTTTTACCCCACACATTTCTTACACACTCCATTTAACTTACATTTCTCCCAATACACCAGCATGCCCTTCCCTATAACGAAGGGAAAAGAAGCATGCTCTTATCGAAAGCTATTCTGCAGCCCCTGAACTGCAGGAGACTTTTTTGCCTCCTAGTCTTCTAACTTGGCAGGACATGCCTGAGAAAGGGAAGGAAAAAACAAACAAACAAACAAATGCAATCTGTTCTAACTTTTCATACTTCTTTCCATATTTCTTTCCAGCATTATCAAATCAAGGAGCTCCAAGCATATTTTGTGGTGAAATACACAGTGCTTTGGCTGCTACAAGAGAAAAACCAATTCTTCCTTTCACAAACTACCAAAGAAGTGCAAAATAAAATTAACATAAAAGAAAGCCTTTGTCTTAGCTTTTTCTGACAGGCTTGACCCATTGACCTTATACAGGACCACCCTGCATACAAACTATGGAGAGAAATGTAAATGTGTTGTTGTTTTTAAATGAGGGCCAATCCTTCGCTCAACGAAGCCGACACTACTGCATAGGTTCAACCGCAAATCACTTCCCAGGCGGCCAGGAGGAACATGGATCTAATAAATTGATGTTTGGGTTAGCATTCCCAAGAGAAAATGGGGAATATACCCCTTCTTTGCAATGAATAAAGATACAAATCAGTTTTGAAGATGTTTTAATTTTCCAAGTTATTTTAGATTGATAAAGAGAAACTAGGTTAGGATTACACACACACACACACACACACAAAGCCATTTTAAACCTAAGAAAATTCATTAGCTCTCCATAAAATTTGGTTAAGAATCAAACTCATTTTCTTAAAATGGAAATCAACTTCTGTCTCCTTCCAAACAACTATGGAACCTGATAACCATATTTGCATCTTTTCTAAAATGGTAAAGTGCCTGGAAAATACATTAGTTATTCTCCCCATAACCTCCTCCCACAGCTGATGAAACCTGCCCAATAAAAATGCTTTGAACAGGCAAGTTGTAATGTAACCATGGTTTATTTGTTATAGGTTGACTGTTGAAGTGTGAAAGAAGCTCATTAAAATCTCTGTGATCCTAAAATGGAAGGAAGGAGAAAGGAAAAAAGAAAATACTTAATGAAGAGTGCCTTTAGCCTAAAGCTCTTTTCATTTTCAGTATTTCACTCTTCTATTTTTAATTTTTTAAAGCAATTAAAAGAGAGCAATTAGTTGCGGGAACACGATTCATATTGGTCGTACTGGAGGCTGACCATGTTAACATTTCTCCTATTAATATTATGAGAATTTAATGAAGAGAATCATGCATAAACAGACTTGACTAGGCCAAAAAAGGAAATGAAGATAAAGAGACAAGCTCTTCTTACCTTAGTCGTAAAACAAGATTCACAGCACATGGAACAGCGCTATATTCATTCGTAATAGCAGATCGTGCCTTAATGAAAAAGAGGGAAGGGAATACATTTTTTTAAATTGCCATATTAGAAACTGGGATAGGTTCAATTCTTTAAGGTAATAATTATTCAGTTTGACTTAGAAGCCATCACTAATCTTAAATTGTAGGTCAGATATTAAAAGTGGCATAAATTACAGTAAGGTGGCAAAGGGGAAAACCAATATAAGTCTATTCCCCTGATTAATCTGATAAATGTATGGTATTAAACCAAAAGCCCTTAGAATTCTAAGCACTTTCCCAGCTTAATAGGTCGGGGTGCTACTAACAAAATCTCCTGTTGATTTAACAAAGCAGTACATTTTATGAGAATCCAGCAGTGATTATTGTTTGCATTTTCACTGCATAAAATAAAAGATTAAGTAGCTGGAAAGTAGCCATAGCCTTTAGTGACAATTAAAACATCCACATATAATATAAACAAAATTCAGTGGCATTGTTCATACATGACTTAAAGCGATAATGTGTTCACCTACACTACGTTCTCCCCGCAAATCATCATGGGAACAGTCAACTTTGCATGACTACTATATAGCTTCCTCAACTGGTAAGAAATAATGTAGTTTACATAGTTTTAGCTTAGCCTATAGTGTGAATTCAGCCATTATGACTGGTCATCAATGGTTCATGGCTGAGCACTGTATGAACCAAATCACTATGGCTTGTTGAACAAGCCATGGGTAAAACAACCCATGTCTTAGTGTGATCTGAGAACCCAGCCAATCTTTAATCTAATTTGTGGCATAGTGAATCTGTAATTAATGACAAAGTAGGATTGCAAGGAAACTATTACAAGGCCACTTCATTCAACTCTGTGTCTACTCAGATCACACAGTTTGAGTGCAAACTAGCTCTCAAATCTATGTACAATAAGAAATGTTAATAGTAACAGTACCTGAGAACCTTTTATAGACAGGTTCTGTATTTGGTCAGGGATATTGCTGGAATACATGGAAATCTGTCCAAAAGAGTTTACATCTTTAGAATATGGCACAAAACATGTTATTTAATACATCTGCAATGCAAAATAGTAAAAACCAGGAATAAAAAAAAAAAGCAGGATTTCAAGCAGGATTTGATGTTGTATTTCCATTAAATAAATCCCTTTAATCCTGCATAAACTTGTGAAAATGGCAGTCTTTTGTGTCACCTGAAATTCTGTCTATCTTAAACCCTCCTGTGCAGATTAAGTGAGCACAGAAAGAACAAAAGGGGAAAGAAACATTGAGTTAAGTCTTTATTCATTTATCATTATATTTTAAATCAACTCAAGGGCGCAAGTTCTCTGGACAAAGTACAGAGTTACAAAGAACATTAATAAATTCTGAATTGCTAAAAAAAAGCCAACTGCTAAATATTAGCTTTACAATCCAAGTTTAACAACAGAATATGAACTTACACATATGGGGTTATTTAAAAGTGGCATACAAAAACTAAATGCATACAACCTTATTAAAAACGAATACTGTAACATTATGCATTAATGAATTGCGCCTCAGATTCTAGTTATTACTCAAAAAAATTACTGAAAAGCAGTGTGGGTTTTTTCAAACTGAAATCTACATCCTGTTGAAAATGTAAAAAAAACCCTAGACCTTGAACTTCAAATTGTAAAATATTACTGAAAATCACCATTTTAATATTCACATCTCCATGTAGATATACACACAGAGAAATAAACATGCACACCTATTCAAAAAGGGAAAGAAGTAAATCTAGCCATTTACCTCTGCATCTGCCTCTTCTTTTACTCTTCGTGACTACAAGGCAAGCATCATAATTAGCTAGTTGCCAGCTGAGTATCAAAATGCTGAATGTTTACTTGAGCAACCATGTGGTTTCCCAAAATTACCTTCTCTTGGGAAAAAGCAGCCTTGCCTTCTTCACTTTTCTCATCCATTTCATCATCACTCCATTCCCAATCCCCATCTTCTGTCTTATGGAGATGGCCACTAGAACCCGGGACTCTTCTAACCTAATGAAAGGACAAAGACAACATTGAAAAGAGCCACTAAGGTATGATGATAAGCCACTGGTCTAGGACTGGGAAGACCTAGTTTCAAATACTCACTCAACTATGGATCTCCCTGGATGACCTGTGGCCAGTTTTTCCCTTTCCATCCAAGCAATCTCACAGGGACATTGTAGCTAATTTGCACCCTTGTTCCCACACTATATTGCTTCTTTAGAGCCTTCTGACACTTTTACCCACACAGGTAATTTCTCTGTAAGGCTTAAATTTTTCAGTCTACTCAAGTCATTTCAGCAACTTTACATTATGGAAAATTTCATTAGGAAAACAACATTTTGTTAAGACTGTGAGCCCTCTTGGACGCTATTTTTTTTTTAAAAAAACACATGGTTTATACGTGCAATTATGCAGTTAATGTATTTTCTTATGCCTTGCCCATAATCTCCCCTTATCCTTTTTTTTTAAACAGAATTCAGCCTGAAGTATTTCTAGCTGCCCCTATAATCACACAGATATTACAACTTCCAGGCAGAAACAAAATTGCAAGCTGATTCTGTTTGCCTTCCCGTTTCCACATACTGTATGCATTTGCATCTCAAGCAGATTTATTATAAGTTATGGAAGATAGAAAAATACCAAGAATGCAAGAAAATGATAAAACCTATTCATCAATGTTTTGACCTTTCCAGTCCAATCTGCACTTTAGGAGGAGCTGCATATGAACATATAACATAAATTTATTCACGTTTAAAAAGATATCCAGGCAATATACTGCAGACTGGACAAATGGATGGAGGTCATGAGGTCTAACACAATGTAGTCTACATTTAGCTTTAAAAGTCAATATGCCCCATCTCCATTTCTTTTTAATTTTCTCTGTTATGACTCAGGTCCTTGATTTAAAAAAAAAAAATGAAAGAGAAAGAGAAAGAGAGAGAGAGAAACAGAGACAGACAGACAGACTCTCCCCCTTGACAGAGCTTCAGGACTCCCCTAGCCTTCAGAATTATGATCTAGATGAACTTTGTTTGGGGGGAAGTCCATCCTGCCTTTAAAAATATGTTTGTAAAGGTAGATGAAGGGGAAAAGCAAGCACATAAATGGAATTGTAATTATAAGGAAAAACTTGGCAAAACATTATCACTGCCCTCATTTTTACTACAGTGTAAGTGGATACAGTATGTACCACATGCAGCCCCCGCCTGCATCTTTATGGCTCTTGAAGCACCCCAGAATTTCAGCACTGAAATATGAAAATATACAGCAAAACATTTGGCCCCTTTAAAGCCAAGGAGCTGAGAACAATGCACCTATTCCCTTCAACTTTCCCAACACTCAAACATTTTTAAATAGCTAAAAATTTCAGCCCCATCATCAAGTGACTTCACCCCACCACCATCACTCCATTGTGCCTTTTCTCACGACCATACGGCTGCCCTTTGAAGTTGCAGCATAATCCTGAAAAAAGGCATGCTTGGTTTAAGGAGTTGTCGGCAAGTGCTACAGGCTTGGTTGCAAAAGCTTCAAAGCATCTTTTCCCCTTCAAATCTGGAGGGCTGCAGAGCCCTAGCAGACAATGCACATACAGAGACAGGAATCCCTGATGCTTCACAGTCCAAATACAGAAGTAGTTTCTCTTCTGGGCACGGTCTTTATGCGCAGTGCTTAACGATTGCCTCTAAACTGTTGATCACACAGGAGTTCTCTATGCCACAATAAAATGCTTCACCATACCACAGTAAGAGTATGCTCCTGCCACAGAGTTTGTCACATTAAGGTTTGAAATTGCAGTGACACAGCTGCTTCATCGTTTTAATCCAAAGAGCCTGGGACGTGGAAAATGCTCCCAGCAGGCCTGGACCTTTCATCATTTCCTGAGAAAAAGATTCACTAGTCTTGCCCTTATTCCTCCTTCCCCAAACTAAAACCAATTTTTTCTCCAGAACAAACCTCAACACTTAAAAATCAGTCCCTTCTATACATACAAAAGGGAAGTGTACACCACGTCTTCAAAACTTATCTACTATCAATGCTCCAAAATACACCTTCCCAGAGGTGAGGCTTAGGTTAGCCCAATGAATGGAATCAAAAGCTTTTTTCCGCAACTCTGTTGGTTTGTTTGGAAACTGATAAATGGCGCACATGCCTAGCCATTCTCTCTCAATTCATTTAATTACTTAATACAACCCATTTCCTTGAATCTATGCTTCTCTTATTGCTTGGCAGTTACAAAACCTACCTTTGTATGCACTATAATCCACACCACAACATCGTGACATAGTACAACTTCCAAATTAGTAAAAGATATTTCTGTTTCCATAAAGACAATTGCATTTTTAGAAATTAATTTCAGCAAAAGGCCACAAAGGGGCAGTCAGCTTCCCTCCTCCCATGGATATAACCATGATGGGATTAACAAAAACAAAAACGACATGTTTAATTGAGAGACCTGAACAATGAAAATCCAAAGTTCTTCCAAGGTTGGCACGGTGATGTGAATGCTGCCTATCTCCAAACCCCTTATACAGACTGTCAATCTACCTAGCCCGTGAGAAAGGGATGCTTGGCAGCATACGGGGTGTGAGACCTCAGGCCCTCCTCCCTGGCTGGAGATAAGAAAGGTTTGGCCATTTTATAGTAAGAGCAGAACTCAGAAGTTTTTGGAAGGAGGCTAGACAAGGAATGGGGGTTCCATCTCCTCAATAGCCTCTGATAAACAGCTGGAATACCCCAAGAAGCTGGAGGAGGTCTAGGTTTAAAAAAAAAAAAAGAGGATCTTGCTTCAAGAGGATTACTTTGGGGAGGTTTTTTTGAAATAGTAGCATGCGAAGGTTGTAATTTGTACTAGGAATTTGAGTTTGCTTTGCTGTGTTACGTTTAGTCTCCTGTCTTTTATTTCTCTGTACAACTTATGAACCTGAGTGTTCAGCTGCATCCTTTATTCTTACTTCTGGCTGCGTACAAACACAATTTTGTAATATGTAATAATTATACGATGTCTCTCTGGATACTTCCTGTAGATTCAGGCAAAAAAAAAAAAAAAAATTATAACAGATCACCGCCCTCTTGTGGTTTGTTTGGAGCATTTCTTTTTCATTTTCTTTTCTTACTAGTTTGTAAGAAGCTGACCAGGATCCAGGCAGCTCTGTAATCTATTTTCTTCAATACTGAACACTTGCATTTTAATATTTAAAGATAAAAAGGGTATCATATATTTTCTTTTTTATTATTGTTCTTTTTTAATATGGGGGGGGGGGAATTGGTGTATCTTCCACAGTGAGGGAGGCTGGGGTGAACCCTTTAGCTAGCACACCTCTACCCTTCACAGCCAGGAACAGGAAGAGGCATTATAGATATTATTGCACTCTTTGCATTCTGTCCTTTTAATCACCATAAAAGCAAAACAAGGTGTCGAAACCCTCTCTCTCAGGGTTAAGAAATGGATGCTAGCTGAGGTGCCCCCTGGAAGCTAGGAGGTAGCGCTACTACCCCAAAGCAGGAGAGGGACCAAATGTGAAGATCCAGAGGACTTCTGGGGGGGAAGCTGAGACCCCCAACATTCCACCCTATGAGTTCAGTCATTCTGATTCATTAGTATAGAGCTTTTGGTCTCTAGGAAGGATTTTTATTCTTTAAGTGTTGAGGTGCATACTTATAAACACAGGTGCAAATGTGCACACACACACACACATGGGAACCAGTTTGGTGTAAATAGTTAAAAGTGCTGGACTAGACCATAAGTTCTAGTTCTTCCTTAGGCATGGAAGCTGGCTGAGCAACTTTGGACCAGTCACTCTCATTCAGCCTTAGACTGGGAAGTTGAGAAACATCTACCTATCAATCCACACTGGACCACCATGGTGTATTACCATAAACTTTAATGAGAAGGCCTTCCTTCATCCTGCAGTGGATATACATAAACACACTTAAAGTATTGTATATATTACTTGATATAAAAGTCTAACGTACAGGTAGTCCACATTTACTGATCACAACTGGGACCAGCAACTTCATTGCTAAACGACATGGTCATAAATGAAAAATCATGTGACCATGGCTCTGGTCATTAAACAAATCACCACAGGTTAAGCACAATGTCACATGACCATGACTTGCGACTTCCTGTTGGCTTCCCCACTGACTTTGCTTGTTGGAATCTGGCAGTGAAGGTTGCAAATGGCTATCAAGTGACCATGGGATGCTGTGACTGTCATAAATGCGCACCCGTTGCCAAGTGCCAATATCGCAATCACATAACAGCAGGGATGCTGCATGGCTGCAAGTTCAAGGACCGGTTAAGTCTCCTTTTTTAGTGCTGTTGTAACTTTGAACAGTTGCTGAGCAAGTAGTCAGCAAGCAAGGACTACATGTAATTTATTTTGTATTTGTTTTCAGTCATGTCCTCAAAAGGGGAAACACATAGCAAACTTTGAAAAGCCAAGCAGGGTAAGACTTGGCTTGTATTTGGATGGGAAACTATCAGGAAATCCCAAGGCAGGGAAGTAGTACAAGAAGATGAAAAAGCATCTCTTGAGAAGGTAATGGCAAACCATTTCCATACTACTGTCAAAAAAACCCAACATCAACTCAAGGGAGACCTTACTTTTTGCTCCCCAATCCTAGCCTAATACTCTAACCACTAGGCATTAGGAAATACAGACCCACTTTTGAAAGATTGCTACACTTTCTCTTCTTTTGTTCTAGGAACATCTGCTATCAGAGATTGGCTAAGCCATGTCATGCCACGCACTACAATTATTCTGGCAGAGGAGGAAAAGAATTGGACTTCTAATTTTGGTTCTTTTGCAGTATTTCCCCAAATAGAAGGGCTGCTTGAAAGGCCAAACTATTTGTAAGTTAAATTGGGGAAACAATAAGAATTTTCAGTCTTAGAAAGACAAATTAACAAATAGTAAGAGAAGAGACAGTTCATACAAATCAAGAGAATATACAGGTAAAAAAAAATGGAGCAAGAGTGGCTGACATTAAATTGTACCCAAGCA